AGCAGGTCGAGGCTGCGGTGGCCGGGAGCGGCCACTGCACTCCAGTCTGGGCAACAGAGTGAGACTCCAACTCAAAAAAAAAAAAAGATGTGGCCCCAGAAGCCTCGGGAAACCACGGCGCCTGTCCGCTCACAGATGGCTCTGTCATTCTCACCACAAACTGCAGGAAAGTGTGGACCCTGCAGGCTCGTGCAGATGTTCATTTGGAGCTGAGGAGACAGAGGCTCTAAAACACCGAGCTCTCGGCCCGGCACCCTTGGCAAGTGACAGCATCAGCCTGCAGGCTCTGAGCAGGCTCATCTCTCTCTAGACAGCCCCACGCCGCCTGCAGCCTGCGGAGCGGCCAGGACGCCGAAGGCCAGCCTGTCCCGGGTGTACACTCAGTGCATCCAGACACATCCTGGGAATCAGGGGCACTTCCCGTTCCCCTGCCAACGCGGTCCCTCGTGCACACTGCTCTGTTGACAGTGAGAGTTCCTAGGAGCTAGCCGACCCTCAGGACACTCCAAGAAATAAAGGCCGTGCCACTGTTCACACACTGGAAATGCCCTTCCATCACTCAGGCCTGGGTTCAAATCCCACCTCCATCCCTTACCGGCTATGAATCTGAGCTTCAGCCTCCTCAAGCTTAACGGGCCCAGCACCCGGCCCGATACGCGGCTGTGCTTCACGAACACCACTTACTGTTCGACGCCAAGCTACTGAAGGGCCACGGTGGGGTCTAGCTCTACTCTGGAAGCCCCTGGGCTGATGGGCATCAATAAACGGTGACTGGCTGAGTGAGCAGATGACGCGAACAAAACAAATGCCAAAAGCAAAGCATTTCCTAAGACCAAGACCAAAGGAGGGGGGAGAAGGAAGGCGAGGAGGGCAGTCAAGCTCATCTACAGCTGCTCAGACGTGCGCGCAATATTAGACTAAAATGCACATCTGTGGAAATTAAGATGCTGACTTCATCAGAGCCGCTACACTTAGACTAAGTCAGACAATCCGCCAAGCACGGAGGCTCACGCCTATAATCCCGGCACTTTGGGAGGTGAGAGGATTGCCAGAGCCCACGGGTTCAAGACCAGCCCAGACAACTTGGCAAGACCTTGTCTCTACAATAAACCAAAAAAGTTAATCAGGCGTGGTGACGTGTGGCTATAGCCCCAGCTACCTGGAAGGCTGAGGCGGAAGGATCGCTGGAGCCCAGCAGGTCGAGGCTGCCGTGGCCGTGAGTGTGCCGCTGCCCTCCAGCCTGGGCGATGGAGTGAGACTCCGACTCAAAATTAAAAAAAAAAAAAAAGAGTGTTGGCTTAAGCCTGTAATCCCAGCACTTTGGGAGGCCAAGGCAAGAGGATTGCCTGAGCCCAGGGGTTTGAAACCAGTCTGGGCAACTTGGCCAGGCCTCCTCTCTACAATAAATCAAGCCGGGTGCGGTGGCTCATGCCTATAATCCCGGCACTTTGGGAGGTTGAGGTGAGAGGATTGCCTGAGCCCATGGGTTCAATACCAGCCTGGGCAACTTGGTGAGACGTCATCTCTACAATAAATTAAAAAAAAAAAAAAAATGCCGGGCTTGGTGGCTCAGCCTGTAATCCCGCACCTTTGGGAGGCTAAGGTGAGTGGATTGCCTGAGCCCGCGGGTTCGAGACCCACCTGGGCGGCGAGACCTCATCTCTACAATAAATCAAAAAAATCAGCCGGGCGTGGTAGCGCGTGCCTGTAATTCCGGCTACTCAAAGGATCGCCGGAGCCCAGCAGGTCGAGGCTGCGGTGGCCGGGAGCGGCCACTGCACTCCAGTCTGGGCGACAGAGTGAGACTCCGACTCAAAAAAAAAAAAACAAAATTACCCGGGCGTGGTGGCACACACGCCTGTATACAAAAAAAAAAAGATTAGCCGGGCGTGGTGGCACACACCTGTATTTCCAGCTACTTGGAAGGCTAAGGCGGACGGATTGCCTGAGCCCAGCAGGTTTAGACTGCGGTGGCTGTGAGCACGCCACTGCACTCCAGACTGGGTGACAGAGTGAGACTCCAACTCAAAAAAAAAAATGTTGTAAATGTTCGTATTGAAAAAGATCCCATAAACAAAGTTAAAGGCAAAAAAGCAGTCTTGAGAGGGGGAGAAAACTTCTTGCACCATATATAACAGAACAAGGATTCATCACCAAAAGTGATCTAGTTCCTATGAATCAATTCTTTGAAAGGGTAAAGAACCTGGTAAAACATAGGCAAAGGTATTAGTAGGCAATGCATAGCACTACAGAGTGGCTGCTAATCTACAAAGACTCTGCAACCCCAGATAGACAGCAAGAAAACGGCAAACTTTTAAAAGTGTTATTTTCAGGCATCATGTTGGCAAAAAGAAAACTGACAATACTTGGGGTTGATGAGCAGGGCGGGAAATAGCAGACACTGACTAATTCTGGGAGAGAAACGAGGCCGAGTCGAAGGCACTTTTGGCGCGCGTTCCTGAGTATGCAGACCCCTCAGCAGCCCGCCAGTTCTTGCAGCCTCTGACAAGCACAGAAACAGCTCTGCGTTTTCTTTCACGCCCGCGGCCTCTCTGGATGAATCTCCCTCGGACGACTTACCTAGGATCGCTCGACTTTTCCCTCAAACCAGCCTTCTCTGACGCCAGGGGATGGGAAGAGTCTCCGATCAGACCCCGGACCGATGCGCATCAGAGCTCTCGTGTCCCAAGGACAGGATCTGCCCTCAGAGCTCCCATCCAGGAGACTCTGGGCCCACACCAGAACCAGGCTGGTTAGAGCTGACCACTCCCAAGGCTTCTTGCAACCTCGACTACCCCGGCCACTCCTTCAGTCAGCCCACACTCACCGAGACTGCGAATTCCAACCCACCTCACACCAAGCCCTCGGACCCCCTGAACTCCACGACTCTCCCGTGGCCCATGCCCCTCAAAGGCTTTCCTGCAGGCCGCCCTCTCCTCTTCCGTACTAATGCAAACTGCGGCCTCAGTCAAGTGCCCACCTCCGCCCACATCCCGTGCGGTTGGGATTAGAATTTTCTTCTTCAGGGTCTGAGGTCCTCCCTCCTCTTCGGCATTCCCTGGAGGAGAATGCAAGTCTCTCCTCACAGGGCTGCCTCCTGCTGTTTACCCTCCTCTGCATGTGGGTTCTGTGTCCGCACTGTGGCTAGGAGAAGCACTCCCCACACGTCCAACAAGTCCTCCTGCTCTCCTGTCCTTAGCTGCCTTTCAGCTGGAAAGCTGCTTGATTTATGGCTGTTCCGCACAAAATATGCTCACTCAGCAGTGGAAACCCCATTCCCGTTCCTCAAGTTCACACATGCTTTCTTTCCTAAGAGGACAAGCTTGGCCTTATGTAATTCTAGCATGGCTGTGGCTCTGACTTCAATCACAAGGCAAGTCAGTGAAACTCTCCAGCTTATCCTCCCCAGTTAGAGAAGGTATACGCTGCTGCTTTGCACAGTCTGTGTGATCCTGATAAATCAGGTGGTTATTTAACTTCTGCAAGCTGAATCCTTGTGGAAGGCTGGTCACTTGCTATTTAAAAGAGCCTTTGAAAAGATGAACTCTTAAGTGGAAAGATTTATTCCTTTCTCAGTGTTGCTTTAACTTTTGAAATAAAGATGCAAATGTGCTTCAGTAAATTAAATGCATTACCAGTGTTCAGTTTAGTGGTCCTGACCAGCACAGCTATTTAAGGAAACAGAAGAAAACAGAATGCAGCCGGGCTTGGTGGCTCAGCCTGTAATCTCAGCACTCTGGGAGGCCGAGGTGAAAGGACTGCCTGAGCCCAGGGGTTCGAGCCCCGCCTGGGCAACTTGGTGAGACCTCATCTCTACAATAAATCAAAAAAGTAGCCAGGCATGGTGGCGCATGCCTGTGTTCCAGCTACTTGGAAGGCTGAGGCAGAAAGATCGCCTGAGCCCTGCAGGTCGAGGCTGCGGCGGCCCTGGGTGTGCCACTGCACTCCAGCCTGGGCGACAGAGCGAGACTCCGGCTCAAAAAAAGAAGACTAAATGCTGATCATGACCCATTAAACCGATCTGTGACTTGCTTCAAGTCTCAAAAGCACCACTGAGGAGGAAGGAAGGAATGACGATACTTCCTGACCAGGGAGTGAGAGAGAGCAGATCGTGCCCAGAATACCGAGGCCAGGCCCAATCCTAGCTGGGGAGCTGAAGCTTCCTCCGGCACTGAAAAGATTTCAGTGGCGGAAAGGAAGCACTACACCAGGCATTTCTTCATACAGAATAAAAAGGCCCAGTGTGGGAATGAGGACCCGCCAGTGGGCTGTCCACGGAGATTAATCGGCATTCTGAACCCACTGTTTTACAAAGGCAGACATGAAAGCTGACAGCAGCCCAACCATGCCCAGTAGTCAAGTCGGCCAACAAACACCCCTCCTGTCTTGCCAAGAAGTTTCAGTGCTTTAACACGTTCTCCAAGTTTCGGCCCCAGACCCCCAGCACTCATCCAGTCAATGCCTGACTCATGGAACCCCCTTCATGGAACCCCTCATCATCAGCGAAGCCTCTCATTCTTCTCAATGCTGCCCTCAGCCCTCCCTATCCCCGTCCCTCCTTGGGGTGTAGGATTTCCAATTTCCACTGGAGAGCTGCAAAGCCCGGAGCTGCAGCTACTCGGCCGACCTGCTGCTCTGGCGGAGATGAAGGTCCGAAGCGGTCTGGAGACCACCCGGCTGCCTTCCTGGTCATTGTCTAGAGCCACCAATACCACTCGGACAAGAAAGGTGTGACCGGTGTGGGGAGCCTGCTACCCATCCCAACCTACTTGTGCTTCAAAAGTCAAGTTCCAAGCCCTTGTCCACCAGCTCAGCCCATGAACATGGCCCCCTTCTCTCCATTTTCGCCACTGGGGAGACGGCAGACGATGGCAGCTGGGTGGGCTAATTGGGCACTTGTGTACTGTGTCATCTGCTCAGTTGTCCCTGTGAGCTGCCCATGCTCCCTAAGTAGCCTGCAAGCTTTCTGAAGGCAGGAACCTGTCAAACTCCTCTGAGGGCTGGGTGCAGTGGCTCAGCCTGTAGTCCTAGCACCTTGGGAGGCCCAGGCAAGAGGATTGCCAGAGCCTGGGGGTTCGAGATAGGCCTGGGCAACTTGGTGAGACCTCATCTCTACAATGAATCACCAAAAAGAACCAGCAGGGTGTGGTGGCGTGTGCCTGGAGTTCCAGCTACTTGGAAGGTGAGGCGGAAGGATCGCCTAAGCCCTGCAAGGAGAGGCTGCGGTGTGACCGTGAGTGTGCCACTGCACTCCAGTTTGGGTGACAAAAATGAGACTGCAAGTAAGTAACAAAACAAAACAAACGTTCTCTGAGTACAGGTGACAGAAGCTGGATACTTGCAGGACGCGGCCATGGGGACGGGTGCGTGGAGAAACACGGCAGCAGAGCCAGGGCAGACAAAAAGGTGTGGGGCTTGGGGGGTGGAGCGCAGGCCTCTGATGGGGTGAGGCGGAGACTCTGGGCAGCTGGGTGGAGTACAGAGCTCGGAAGCGCCGGCACTGGCACGCGCGAGGCAGTGTCCCGGACCAGGCCGCCAAGGCTCGCAGGATCCACCAGCACGTAGATCAAGATTTGCGGTCGGTTAAA